GCAAACGAAGCGTGGAGAGACGACGTATATCTTGGCTGCGCAATTTAAGAGACTGGTTCCAGTGCACATCTAACCAATTATTTAGAGCAGCAGCTTCAAAGATACGAATAGCAATGATGATTGCCAAACTCCGTAGCGGAGAGGGCACTTGAAGAAGAAGAAGATAGAAGTATGGGAAACACATATCATCTAAACGTTTTAGTTCTTAGCATAATAGGAAAATAAAATGCTTTTCGTATCGTCAGCTTATCTGACGTTGTTGACAAGAACTCCATTTATTGCTATTCGGAGTGTATCCGATCGACCTGTGGATATCTTGCAACTCAGTGTTACTCCTCCATAGATAACTACCGGAAGAGCGGGTACGCTTAAAAGACGGAATATCATGATGTTGAAATCCTTAGCGAATATAATACTTTTATGGCTCTGCAATGCTGGGCGTGAGCCTTCGAGACTGCATAACACACCAACAAATCAGGTAAAGACGTTATCGAAAGAATTACAATGACAAAGTGGAACTGGGTATAGCGAGAACATTAGATGGACGGTAGACAAGACGAATCATGGAATGAAGACCCAGAAACTATAAATGAAGTCGAAGACGACCACCGACTAGATGATCGATGACGTGAAAAATGTAGCACAAGGGAACATTAAAAGAGACTAAGAGAAGCCTATGTCAAGTGGTGGGCGCAATTGGCTGAACAATGATGGCTCTCCTTTATTTCAAGTCTGCTATTCGGGCTCATCATCTGACAACTCGTTCTATTAAATTAATTAATGTCGAATGTATTTTGTAGTATTGGAAAGCTTTTTGCCGTTTATGGATCGTACAACGCGACGAGGTAAAGTTATCGATGAAAAAATTTGTTCAATCATTATTAGATTTTTTAATTCTGGAAAATCCGATTGGGAAATCGCAAATATGTTGCAATTGTCACGAGATAGTGTAAGAACTATAGTCAGAAGATACAAAACTACATGTTCGGTCGTCACAAAACCTAGAAATAATGTACGAAAAAGTAAAATAACCGAAGCAGATCGAAGAGCATTAAGATGCATTATAGTGAAAAATCGACGAGCAAATTATATGAAGTTAAGAGATTTATGTAGTGACGTTATTGGAAGACTCGTTTATAGATTAACATGTCACCGAGAGGCCCACAAATTAGGATTAGTTTGATACATGAAAAAATTAGTAAGAATTGTTTTTAATAAATTTCATTTTATTTCAGTCTTAGGAAAAGCCACTTTTAACATTACAACAGAAGAGAAATAGACTAAGATGGTCAAAAGAGCGTAAATATTGGACTTAGTCGCAATGGGATTCAATACAATGGAGTGATGAGTCCAGATTTGAATTGTGTGTTGGAGACAGTAGGAGTTGCATCATTCGCAGGAAAACTGAAGCTTTCATTCCGACTATCTGAAAAGTCAAATTTCCTGTATCTGTCATAATCTGGGGCAGCATGTCGTGTGAAGGTGTGGGAAAGAATCTCTGTTACCTATTATGGAACACTGTTTAACATCAGCGGAAGATTTTGTCTTCCAACACAACTCAAAAAAGAGTTTAAAATGGATTGAAGACCATGGCATACCACTTCTGGAATAGGTTTCTAACAGTCCCGACTTGTCCCTGATAGACTTTGTGGAGCGAAATGAAAAAAGCTTTGAGAAAATATCCTGCCAGGTCCGTCAACGAATTAAAGAAGAATTTTGTCATAATTTGGTAAAAATTATCTCGAGTAGCTTCGAAGAATTGATATCATTAAATAAAGGGGATGTAACTCAGTGAAAACTTTCACATTTTTTTGTTAATATTACATATTTTATGCGTTTTTTTTAATTTATTATTATTCTGCTAATCAATAGTTTTCATTACGTTATAAAATATTTTCTATAATTAAGAAATTCAAAATTGTTGTTATTAAAACTTCTAAAATTCTAGAAACTTCTAATTTCCTTTTTATTTCTAAAAATATAATACATTCTCATTAAAAACTCTGAAAATTATTCTCTTCACTGAATATTGGCTAATTGGCAAGACTAAAGTACTTCCTGTCACAAATTAACATTAATATATTTCTACTTAAAACTAAAGATAATTGTATAAACAGTGTCATTATTTTTTGAGTATTTAACTATGTGTGTGCATTGAAATTTAAGGACAAATTTTAAAAATATAGTTTAGTTGTTATCTGTTGGTATCAGACAATTAATCATTTTAATTATTTGATTCCCTACATTAACACAATTAATTACAGTTGACAGCATGTGCAAGTAAATTATCAAAATAATTTAAAAGTCAATAGCTATATGTACAGGCTAAATTAAAACAGGTTATAATCATAGACATATAATACAAATAGACTGAGTCTAGGGCTAAGGTCAATACATATAATACAAATAGACTAAGACTAAGGTCAGATGGAAGCACACCACCTGAAAGCTAACACAAAGGGAAAAGGCCAAGAACCAAAGGTGTGACTTTCAGCGAAGCTTTCGCTTCTGTTATGGTTTCAGTGGTACTAACAGGATTCCAGGAAGCCAAGATGAATGTAGACAAGCTTAAGGCAGTCGAAATAGCCATCTTGGGTGCATATGACAAAATTCTGCAAGTAGGACCTCAGGTTCGCTTCCTGAAGATTACATACAGGCCATGTTTCCTGGAACTTATCAATACCGTATCTCAAATTAGATTCAATCAGGGCCACATAAACACTTTTTGCAAACTTGAAATCTAAATGATGAACAACTCATTTGACCGCAAAGCAACCTGATGATATCTTTTTGCTTAAATATACAGTGTGTTGCTCAAATTTAAGTTTATTATCAATCTAGAGACCTAAAAATTTGTTTACAGTATCAGAACAAATGCCTTCATTGCCCAGAGTAATGTTGTTTAGATCATTCTTAAACGAAATTAATTTGGTTTTTAAAAAATTAAATGTCAAATGATTAGCTTTGCACCACTCTAAATTTTTTTGCATATCACTACTAATAATCTTAAATATTTGTAATTATGAATACCACAACAACTGAATAATGATGGACAAAAACAAAAGATATCCTTGTGAAAGCCATTAAAACAAAGCAACCAAAACAAAAGACAAATAAACTAACCTGTTTATTGGGGGTTAATATCATTCTGAGAATAAAAACAGCAAATCAAAGTTGTTATCTGGAATGGCCACTAGAGAGAGGTTTTAATATATAGAAAATTATAAGAAATTAAATTTATTATGACCAAAGGGGCAACATCATCCAGTCTATTAAAATTAATAGATTAAGGTGGCTAGGACACCTTGACAGAATGGACACTGGAAACCCTAAAAGACAGATTATATCAAGAGCCAGTAGGAACCAGGAAGAGAGGCAGCCCAAGATCTAGATTTGAAACTCAAGTTGAAGATGATTTGAAGAGTATAGGGATCAGAAATTGGAAAGCCATGGCGAAAGATAGGGGAGATTGGAGACTAATTCTTGAACAGAGACCCACCCCAGGTTGTAGGGCCAAAGATGATGATGATGACCAAAGAGGTCACAATGTAGAGGTAGTCACTAGATACAAGGGTTGCTACCTAGGTTTTGACTATATTTTATAAAGTAATCAACCCATCAGATTTTTTTACCATACAATACTTTGTTAATTTATTATATGCATAATGTGAAAACTGATAAGTACTTATAGTGTTTGTAAATTGGTTACTAATGTATTGGTGTATTATGATTACTTTAGGCTTAGAGCATAAATATATTTCGAAAACCTATTGAAAATGATAGAAAGCTTTAAGATATAGAGGGTGTTTTATTTTGTTAACTTCTAAAATAACCTAGATCAAATTTGAAAACACTTTTACCTCATATTACAGTAAAAATTAGAGTTTTAGAAGAAATATATTGTCCTATTCATCAAAAAATAAATTTGTACTGCCATTATAAAATATATTGTAATCCAAAGTATTTTTAGGATGTGGTCCCTAAACTATACAGCATTTTAAATGAAATCAGAAGCATTCACAACCTAAGTCAGAATTAAATAACCATCTTCCAGGTATTGACTCATATGTAGGTTAATTTCAAGGTTTCGCTACATTTGTATGTAATTTTTTCAGGGGCAGTGGAGGAAAAAATTAAATGTGAGTCCAGGATTTATGTCTCACATTTAGATATCTAAGTATTTGAGTTACTAGGTGCGAATCTCTCCCTAGGCTATTGGTTTTGACCTTGTATTATTGAAATATTGTGACCAATAGCCTTCATTTGTCTGTGGTTCGTAAACAAAAGAACAAATTCGCAATAGCCCAGTATAAAATTTGATGGCGATATCAGTTCCTTATATTTACCATTTGACTGGTCTCTATATTATATTCTTTTAACTTTTTCTTCTTCTTCAGTCCTCATCATGTCCCCTTCATGTCTGTACACTGCTAGACATAGCAATTCACAGCCATTCCTTCTTATATGTCATTTCTTGTACAGGATTTTAATCAAAAATTTATTGATTTAAATTGTAGAAAGAATATAACAGTAGATGCAGTGACAAAATCACCTACTGATAGAAAAAAGCTGTAAAATAACTCAAAAACACTTCATACAGGTCTATATTTCCCAAAATGGTTCCTTTTTTCCTTATGTGATCACCACAAAAATACTCTATGTATATTTCTAAAATGGAGGGATAACAGATGGACAAAGCAGATACTGGAATGGAGACCAAGAGATGATGCCTACCGAAGCAGTGTTTGTCCACCAACACGTTGGACTGACGATCTAAAACATTGTCATAGGAATTGTATGCAAGAGGCACAAGATCGGAATAGATGGAAAATTATGAGGGAGATTTATGTCCAGCAGTGGATAAGCGAAGATTGAATGATGATAATTTCTAAAATTAACCTAATTATATGGGCTTAGGGACAATTATTATACTTAACATCTATTGGATTAGGTTCCACAAGTAATTTTTCAAAAATTGAAAATAAATATATAATACTTACCCCCTTTGCATGGAGTCCTGTGGGTGCTGTGTTGAGCTCTGTACCCTTTAATGATTTCATACTGCCCATTGTCCCTCTTAATGGGAAAGGCAACTTCGAGAATATGATCACATTGTTCCATAAAGGTTAAAATACCTTTTACTTTGGCTTTTCTTTGATCCAAATTTAACCTGGATCCCTTGACGTTTCCTAAGTCTTCCACCAATTTATCCTCTACTAAAACGCAGGCTTTGTGGAAGAAATATTCAACCATGTCGAAAAATCTAGGATTAGCGTTGGTAGGCATATCCTTTAATCTGTCTGGAATAACATGGTCCGCATAAGTCCTGCCCTGAAGCTGACTGCATGCTGCTGGTAAGGTCTTAAGTAATGTGCTAATTTCCGCACTTCTCGATTTAAGAGGCGCGAATTTAGAAATCATTTTTAAATTTAACATTTTGATAATTTGTAGATTTAATATTAGTTAGTAAATAATCCCCAAATCATAGAAACCCGACACCACCCGGCAGTTGTAACGCCTTACGTAATTACCGCGCTAGCACCAACGTGACAATACCAATACCGAAACGCACCAACAACCTAGAACAACCTATGCCGTAAGCCTCACTGCTATTATTAAAATTTAAAATTGCAAAAGCAAAAGGCAGGCTGCGGCTGGTGCGTCTGCGATCTACTTTTTGTAATTTTACTATCTTGACATTTGACAGCTGCGCGCATGGCTATAATAAACATTTTGGCAAGGTTGCCAATTTTCTGCATTGCTGATTTATTGACAAAATTGCGTACAATAATTTTGAATTATCTATTAGATTTATAACTTTTATCATTTCACATATATTGATTTTTGTAGTTTTTATTTAAATAGCGCATAATACTTAGTTTAAATTTTGTTATATAAAAGTTACAAAAATATAATACACCACAATTTTCTTAAGAATTATAACATACTGCAGAGTAGACAATGTTGAATGATCAATACAAACACATAGGCGTTGCTAAAATTAACATCGTAGCTTTTTGGGAACAATTGATAAAAAATATAAACAACGATAAAAAACATTGTATATATACATAAAACATAACAGTGTATATAAAGGATAATGCGAGTAAATAATAAAAGTAAAATGTATGGCAAGTCTCGCAAAACAGCAAAAAAAAAGGTATATCGATGGAAGGCAACCGCATATACATATTTCTGACTATTGGTCCTCTTCAGTACGGTGCAGCCAAGTTAGAAAAGGAGCATGTTAACTTGGGAAAGGATCAGAGTCAATGCGCCCAATTTGTGGCATTATAGTCAGAAGACCCTGATGGTTTTCAGGGAAACAACTAACAATAACCACGGATGAAGCTACAGCTACCTGGGAAAAGTAGTGTCAAAAATTGAAAAGTTTAAAACAAAAATATTCCTAAAAAAAAAGGAAATCTATTTTTTATATATAACAATGGTTCCTCTGGAAGAAGTTTGTCACTCATAAGATAAAGCAGACCTTCATACATCACCATTCTCTTGGAATATAACATAAGATGAAAGTCATTTTAAATACTTTTGCTAGATGAGATCGTAGGATATAAATGTCTTCTTGTATCAGAGCTGAAAAGATACCATTCTTCCCACAAAATGCGTAGGGCTGAAAGCCAATAAATAAGTACTCTTATCTTAAAAGATAATACCAGTAGGTACTGCTTTTCACATATGGACCAGGCTTTCATATAATAGCAGAAATATTTAACATCCTTAAAAGGGCCAAAAGAGTAAATTTACTAGTTAAAATAAAAACTAAATAAATTAATGCAAACAAACCTTGATATGATATAATAACTGTAATAACTTTTAACAAACTGTTCAGAAAATGTATCAAACTAACCTTCGATGTCGTAAGAAACTGGTACTTGGGAGATTTAAACCAATACATTTTTCCCATGGCCCAATTTAAATAAGGAACAAACAAACAGTCCATAGTTATATCCAACAATAAAAATACTTAAAAATAATTAAAATAATCTGATTTCATTCTGTATGTGACATTGACAACGTATGGCATGTAGATTGAACTTATTTATCATTATTTATTTATAAAAGATAAGACCACAAAGACAGTTTAGTTAGGTTAGTTCTAATTTATTCTAATATGAACCTAAAAAGAAGTCTAATAAAAGGAAACTGAGAAATTTCTTATATATACTTTAGTGTGCATAATAAAAAATAATCTATGGACATCACAAAGTGAAAATTGTAGACCAACTCATCCAAATGATCATAAACACTCTACAAACTCCACGATTATTCATAAGGCAAGTGATTAAAAAGACACTTGAGAACAATAAATTTTGTGCAGTATCCTTGTAGAAAAACACAGTGTCTTTCCGTGTATCACATGAACTAAGTTCCATGTATAGAGATTTTAATATAAAAAGATGATAAAAAGTTTGAATTTTTTAATATTATACTTTGGATATTTCTCATAGGTGCTTGTGATATTTCTTTTGTCGTCCGCCACTGTCAGCCGAAATATTTTGAACATGTGGCCTGTCAAGTGCTAATGTTTTTGACAGTACGTCAGTGACAGCGATAAATGAAATAATCTGACATTTAAAAGTTTGGTTATATTGTATGGTGATTTGTCCTTTTATTAATATCTATCAAAAGTAATATCGTATCAAAATGGATATAACTGCCTTATTTAAAGCTTGTGTCAAAACAGTACGTACTACCAACAAATCTCTGGGCATAAGGGATCAGAAATCAAATATTTTAAAAACCCATAGAGATATCCATCTCTCAACTGCAAGAGATATAGTTAAGCAAATAACAAAACTCCAAAGCTTTCTATTAGAAAATAAGGCTGCTTACCTTAATGTTATAAATTATTTATCTACAAATAAAACCATGTCAGAAATCGATAGGCAAAAAGTTGATACAATGGCAGAAGAAATAATAAACAATTGTAGTCAGCTAATAAAGGAATATAAAAAGGAAATAACGGCTTTATCAAAAAGTAGTCAAAAGGAAGAGCACTATCAGAACGTCATTGATAGTTTAGAATGCTATTTAAAAAATGTTTCCAAAATATATACTGAAGCAAAAGCTGTGAGGGTAAAACGTGTAATTGAAACACACAAATTATCAAAGTTAGAAACCAAACCAGTAAGTCAAAAACAAGAAATCAACAATAGTCAGAATAAATCTAGTTTAGATATTTCGAGCAATTTGGCTTCTCCTAAAGAGACTGTTAGAGTTCCACCTGCATCAGTTGACTATGACAATCAACTTTCTGCAGAAGAAATGCAGATGTTTGAAACAGAAAACAATCTTCTTTATAATGAACTTAATAGTATTTCAGGTAAATATGATAACCATTATTCATTACACTATTTTTTATATTGTCTTTATTTAACTGTTTCTCCCATGTGGATTCCTGTCAACTTCTGGTTGAATATTACTCCTATTTATTTGGCCTGATTTACAAAAATGGAATTCCAGCTCCCCTGAGTAATATGGTTGAAATAGTCCATGCAGTGTTCTTTTAGCAATGGCAACAACTGCTTGTTTTTGGGTGTTAATCTTATACCCTCACAGTCACACCAGTTATCCAACTTCCTTAGGGCGAACTATCTTTGCTCCCAGATTGTTTTGGTAAAATGTGTTTTGACTACTACTGCCAGGTTGTTGCATATCCAATGCAGATGAAACTTTCCCTGGACATCTTAGCTAGTAGGTCATTTAGCCCACAGCACTGGAGATAGCATTCTCTCCTCTGGGCAAACACTTCTTACTCTCAACTACATGCATAACAATACCCATTCATTTGCTGAGGCGGTGGTCACTATTCTTCCAAATAGCTAATAAAATCTTGGAATATCTTAAAAGCAATGTTCTTGGACCAGCTTCCATTAGTATGCTGACAACTTCAGCTGCCTTGAAATTGATTCCCTTCACCTTTTCTTACAATGAACATCAAACATATGTTGCCAAAAATCATAGAGTATGTTAAAAAAATAATTTTCTTCCTATTAAATTTTTTTATTTATTGCAGATGAAGTTAGGCAGATGGAAAGTAAAGTGGTGCATATAGCAGAGTTACAAGAATTATTTACTGAAAAAGTATTACAGCAACAAGCAGATATTGAAAGGATAGCGACAACTGTAGTTGGATCCACTGAAAACATGAAAGATGCTAATGAACAAATTAGACAAGCAATTCAGAGAAATGCTGGACTGAGAGTGTACATTTTGTTCTTTTTACTAGTTATGTCATTTTCGTTATTGTTTTTAGATTGGTATAATGATTAAGTGTATGTAAAATTATTTTAGAATGGCTTGGGCTATGCACAGAGTGATTTTCTTGTGAAGTTTTTAGATTGATTTAATCCTTCAAGGGTAATTTGGTTATTGTACAGTAAATTTTATATTAAAGCAGTTTCAAGAATACACAAGTTTTTGTTTTATTTATTTAAATCTGCAGTGTAGCAATAGATCATTTTAATCAGGCCCGTATGGCCCAGCTGACCAACCAGTGTGACTATGCCATGGATGTATAAATTATATGTCCATGGACTATGCCTTTGTTATATATTCATAAAAACATTTTAAACCTTTACCCAAAGATGATATAGATATTGTCCCCCAAATTTTAAGTTATTCCCGATTCCTCCATTTGATTGATTCATTTGTGCAAAGATCAACCGAGTATGGAGCTTTTGCAAATTAAAACTTGTTTCAGGTTTAGTTTGATGTAGCGCCCTCGAAGACCATTTGTGTGATTCGGAATATCTAATATGTTTAATTGTTTCTCTTCTGGTCTGTCATCTAAGGCTTATTTGAATATTTCCTCGGAATATAAATTATAAAGATTTTGTGGTAATACCATCGAGCAAAAAGACAGAAGAGGGAATGTAAAGGTAGTGGGTTGAGAGGCCATCAAATTTAGTTGGGTTAAGTTATTGTTTGTCCCAACTGTCACATGAAATCTTATTTATATTGAAGTTTTTAACAATTGTGTCACATTTTAGACTATTATCGTTAATATTTAATTAAAACTTTCTCGTCTAAGACACATTCTGAAAAATATTTTTTAGCTTCTGTTAATGTGTCGGAAAATTTAAATTTGGCGCCTTTGCATTTCCAGATATGTCCGCCATATTAAGAGGCCACTTTTATGGATTTTGATCACCTTTTCATAACGATTAGATTCCAATTTTGTCTTTTTGCTCGATGGGTAATACACAGCTTGTAGTACTTTTCCTCCACTGCCTTTACATTCCCTCTTCTGCCTTTTTGCTCGATGGCTATCGCATTCATAAAGAAAACAAGGGAAATTAGTAAATCCACTTTGCAAACCTAGGAGTATACTGACAATTTTGAAATCTCCATAAATTAACCAGTTATTTTTCTCCGATTCAATAATTTTCAAGAGAATTTTCATATTGTGGCACGTTTCTTTTAACTGAATGGATTTAGCTATTGGGATTGAAGCATATTTGGTTCCATTATGTAAAAGAATAGCTTTTAAACCAGGTTTTGATATAAATTCTTATAACTTCCATTCAGCAGGTTTATAGTAAATTCCAAAATATTCTATCACCGATTGAGTGTTTTTACAAAAAACCATTGCATCTCTTTCTTGAAAGTAAGGAGCAAGTTTTCGTTCACGATGATTCTGCATTTTATATCTGAGTCCATACACGAAGGTTTTTTAACCAAGAAACTTGTTTTCTTCCTACACCTTTGCGGCCCACTATTTTACCTTTAAGGATTAGTTGTAATATTTTATATCGACTTCACCCTACTATATGTCCCAGATGAGACATTTTTCGATGTTTAACAGTCTTTAGCAGTTCTCTATCTTTGTTGACGCTCCTTAGTACTTCTTCATTAGTTTTCCTTGATGTCCAAGGTATCTTCAGCATTCGTTTATTAACCCACATTTCCAATGCTTCAATTTTGTTCATGATCGATATTTTTAGCGTCCACACTTCTGCACTATACAAAAGTATGGATCAAACATAGGACTTAACCATTGTTAAGTAACCATTTGAAACATTTCAAAGCTTCAAGTGATACGTACATCACTATAATATATGGAAGAAGTTTGTGAAACATTTCAGATTTTCAAGGGATTTGTATCATAATTTAAAATAAATGAAGAAAAATCGTAAAAATTGATATGAATCGATATGTCATATTCTTTCAAACTTTCACGGATGACTACTAATTGAAATTCGGTCATTGTAGGTAGATAACCATTGAATTATAGCAATTCTTTTATACAAACTCAGACGAATATGTCTATTTCGGTGACTGTACAGTAAAAGGGTACAATGCTAGAAGTGGGCAAGCTTTTTTATACAATGTTAGGATTGTCCAATTTCGGACATTGCTCGTAACATATACATATTTAGTTTCACTATGTTTCTCATTAGGCTAATTAATATATTCTGAGCATTTTCTCGCATTGTATTTTTTACGTATTGTGACAAAGATGGATTTGAGCCGCCCATTTGTGGGAATCACTACAACGTTATATATTGAATTAAAAAGTCTTACTACTACTTTTATGTTATCATCCTCTGTAAGTTTCAGCAACTCAGTTGGTGTATCACCTGGACCATAAGATTTTCTAATTTTAGCATTACTTATAGCGTGTTCTACCTCGCATTTCATAATTTCTGAACCGTCAGTACAGTTTTGGTAGAATTTGGCAATATTATTCCTGTCATCTTCAAACAACTTTGATATATACAGCTTCCATTCTTTTCTTTTTCTTTTTTTTCCATTTCGTGCTCATTTACAACAATTTTGTTATTATTGTCAACGAGTACAGAGGGAACTGGTTTTTTTAAATATGTTAATCATTTCTTTTAGTTTTTTGTGCACATTAAATAAGTCGTGTTTAGTTAGATATTACATCTTCCATTTCGTCGCACCTTTCTCTCATCCATTTTTCTTTGGCTAATTTGATCTCCCTTTTTGTTCTTCTTTGTAGGTGCCTATATTTTGTGTCAATAGATTTTATCAGTCGACGTTGTTCCATTAATTTCAAGATGTTGTCTGTCATCCATTTATTTTTCTTGATTAAGTTTTTTCTATAATCATTGTTTGTGGAGATTTCGTGAACTTGATTTTTAAATTCATTCCATAGTTCTTCTGGATCTTCTAGCTATTCTCCGATTTTTTTTATTCCGTTGATAAATTATTGTTTAACATTATGTTTTATGTTTATATCGTCAAAGTTAAGTACATTGGTTTTTGGTTTATGTCGCGATGACAATACCAAGAAAAAATGACACTCGTCACAAGGAGATTTTTTGATTTCAATCTGGATCCAAGAACTTCTACATCATCCTTTGAGAGAGACGAAGAACTTCTGCGGCATCTCTAACTAAATTATTTAATTCTTCTTGAGTAAAAGAGTTTAGGTGAGCGATCTTCATCAGGTCCATATGTGTCATCACATACATTATTCTCATTGTTATTAATTTCACAGTAACAATCATCACAACAGTAGGAGGGACAGAAACAGGTATAGTATAAGACACAAAAATAATACGCAAAATACAGAAAAAATAAATTTATTCTTAATAAAAAACGAAAAGCATATAATCTTAAATAACTTGGTAATAAAGAAATACTTTTTCATATAACATTAAACATACTTTGTTTGACTAGTAGAAGCTTAACATTTAAAGTCTAAAACATAAAATGATTTCATACTGTACATGTATGTATATATCTAAGTTTAAGTGAAAAATCACATAGTAAATACTTACAGTAGCAAATGAACTTTTTTCGACATATTTTAATATTTTTTCTTGTAAATATCAACAATGTTTTTTACAAAAATAAAAGATATACAACGTGCATATTTTTATATATAAAAAAAAAAACAGTAATTACCGAATCGAAAAATGAATGTTTCATGATACGTAGTTAACGGAAAACATATTTCCTCTTATAGCAAATATATCGCAAAAAAACTTTTCTATAAATTTGAACATTACATCTATTTTTATAATTATTTTGATTTACGATATTAATTGTATTGTCCGGTAGTTTTTGTAAAACAACAGTTACAGTTAATATTCTGGCATTACAAAATAAGCGTAAGACATTTCTAATAACTAGAACCTGTAGACTGTCTGGTACTTTTAGTTCTACTGAAAAATAACCATAAGATCAATTTCTTATTTCGTATCTTGACACAACATTGCCGGCCTTAAGAAGGCCACAGTCACTTGTTATTTTAAAGCAAAATTTTATAATGGTAAAACAATACTCAAACAACGAAAACTGTCCGAAGAGAAACAGAGGAAGAGAATAACTAGAGCTATAGTATAAGCAACAGTTACAATGCAGTGCAAGTAAGGGAGGCAACGTATTTCTCAAGGGAAAACGGCCGACCACGTTGCCGGTTTGTCCCGAACTGCGCATCAGGACCAGATTTAAGAATCATAGCACTGGAATATACGAGCACACAACAATTACCTACGGTTGTATAAAATACTGTCAGGTTTAATCTCTATTTTCCACGCATAGCAAATACCACATTCTTACTGTGGTTTCTACTATAGTAATTATTCAAAACAAAACAATTTTATAATAAAATTTGTACAGTTTCAGTTATAAGTACCAGTGCCTAGCTCTCTGGTGTTATTAACAAATACACAAATAACGATCACATTAATAAACATATAATCACATACATCTCAACGTATTTTTGTCTTTTTTGCAACATATTTGCTAAAAGATGATAAATCTCCTTTATGTCATGTTTTAAGTAGCAAGATTGGAACTAAAACTACAGAAATATTTGATATAATTGATTATCATTTTGCAAAAAAACGTATTTTTGTTGTACCAACTGACCTTTTGGACAATTAATTCTGTTAAAATGAAAAGTTATATTTGTATGACGAATATAACATTCATACAACAAATTTCCAAGGTTAAACAAAAATTTCTGTGCGTTTAAAATTGAAGCTGTTCATATGAATGGTATTAATCGGTCAACAATATTCTCCTTTACGGTGTTATCATATCTGTACTGTATTTTCAATAATACAAAATCTAAAAGTTACCCTCAGTGAGGTCATTTCAAATTTAACATGGATGAACATTCTTACCATTATTATATATTTTTGTAAAGTATAATTTATATAACGTGGAAACCGCTTATGGAATAAAATTGTTTGTGTCCTTATTATTGGGACCGTGCAAGTTCGGATATTCATACTGTTAATATGGATGCAATAATAAAAACTGGATTTGAGAAATTAAATCACCAAATAACTTTTCAACCAAGCACTGAGTCAAATGGAAAAGCTTTAGTAGTGGCAAATGTCAAAAAAGAATGGAAGAATTAAGAAAAATAAATTACCATAAATTAATGCTAATGCATAAATTAGCAGGTTAAGCCCATGATATCATCATATTGGTT